AAGGTGTTAGCAAATATTTCCTTTTCTTATTAGTTAATGCCTTTAACTCACTTGCCTTATGCCTTTGATGCACTGCTTGCTGCAAAAGGGAATGTCATGGGGTACAGTTACAGTAGATATGTATGTATTTAGACACTATCAATTTGCCCCAGGAAAATGTTGAGATTCATTTTTTAAATAAGTTTTCATTCAGAATTTGGATAGGAAGAGGTTACCAATTCAGCTGGTACTACTATAGCCCTTGTGACATGTATTCTAATGTAGTACAACATAACACACTTGATTAGAGAAGACACTTACAAAGGTGCCATGAAAAGGTAACCCACCCTTTTGCCAACCAGATATTCTAGATGTTTATAAATTGTTGTAGGAACATCATCCTGCACAGAAATGGGCATAGAAATCGTTCATGCAATCACTAACCAGAGATTTAACCAGATAGGAGACAAGGTTAATCAAGAGAACCACGATCTTCTCTTTTAATCATCTCTCTCTTTTTTTTTTGTTTATTGAAATCTATTTCTTTTTTCCAAGCAAGTAAAGCTCCCTCTTTATACAAGCATAAAGGAAATCACAAATAATTTACTTGCAGGTTCATGATAAATCTACTTCTCCCACACCACATCCTAAAGGAAACTGGAAGGCTTTTTTAAAACTAGATTCAGGAATAGTGATATGTTTTTTTCTGTTTTCGAAAGAAATATAGCAAGTAGAAAGAAACAAAGAAAGGTGGGTGCTTTCAGTACTGAGATCCTGTTTTATTAAGAAGCACAATTAATCTCATCCTCATTAATAAATGCAGAAATCACAGATGCTTCAGCTAGCTGCATGCCTGACTTTAATTCGGCATTCCTGAGAACTGCTCTGTTTTCTGCATATCTAATGTCAAAAGATACCCAATACAGCATCTGTAATTTTTAATTGCTGGTGTTTAAATTGCTTTCTACCCAACAATATTTGATCATTTCTAATTCTGAACCTTCTGCAGCAACAAAGGCAGCATGCAGATGTTCCTAAAATAGGGCCTTTTTACTAGAGAATTCCATGAGCCAAAACCAGCATGACCATTGACCAGATGTAATAGGAGCTATAGTACAAACCATCCAGGGAACTTCAGACTAGGAGACAATTGTTGTGATAGCCTCATTCTGCAAAGAATGTAAGGCATAAATGACTAGTCAAGGTCATTTAGCAAATGAACCACAAGGTCAACTTTAAAAAAAACCAAGACTTTTGTGCAATATTTATGTCTAACTCATATTTCTTTAATTCTTTACTCTAATTCTTATTTCAGGCTTATCTTGCAGATATAAAATAGAAGAACTATTTCCTAACAGTGAAAACAATTAACCAGTGGAATGGCTTGCCTTCAGAAGTTGGAGGCTTTTAAGAAGAGACTGGACAGCCATTTGCCTGGAATGGTATAGGGCCGTGATGGCAAACCTATGGCAAGCGTGCCACAGGTGGCACGCGGAGCCGTATCAGTGGGCACACGAGCTCAGTTCCGCCAGCTGATTTTCAGGCCTTCTGGGCCCACCGGAAGTCGGCAAACGGGCCATTTCTGGCTTCCGGAAGGCCTCTTGGGGGGGGGTGAGGCTGTTTTCGCCCTCCTCAGGCTCCAAGAAAGCCTCTGGAGCCTGGGGACGGCAAAAAAAACAGGCATACCGGGGCCACTGTGCCATCGTGTGCCAAAAGCGGGGGAGCCTAGAGGGTCAGGGCGCATTGAATTATGGGTGTGGGCACACGTGCGTGCGACCCCCCCGTGCTCCTCCCACTTTTGGCACGCGATGGCAAAAAGGTTAGCCATCACTGGTATAGGGTTTCCTGCTTGAGCAGGGGGTTGCACTAGAAAACCTCCAAGGGCCCTTCCAAATTTGTTATTCTGTTATTATTCTGTATCTAGTATATTGAGTATACTAGTAATATTAGTAATACTAATAAATAATACATAATATAAACATAAATGCAGAATACAATTATAAATTGTCTAGTATCCCCTAAGCAAGATTCTTCATAATTAATTCATGTTTAAGTCTGTTAGGCTCTAAACTTAAAATATAAGAGTCAAGGGCTTAAGAATACTAATCTCAATATATTACTGTGCTGGAAATAACATAATCCTACTTTTGATTTATATTATATCCAGGCTGTTTCCATTAAGTCAGGCAAGCTATTTGTAAACATAAAACATGAACATGTGGCCTGGCTAGCTCTGATCCTTAATTTTAAATCCAATAATTTCAGCAACTTTTAGATAAAGAATTATTTCTCAGTGTGACATGTAATCTCAGATCAATTACAAAGCCCATACTTTACAAAGCCCTGCAAATTTGGTAGAATTTATTGGTCTTTAGTTAGTTTACAAGAATTATTTGCAAGTGCAGGTGGCTAACATTTACACATCATCTTAAACCCACTGGAGCGAGAATAGTATTGAAGATGCCTTCTCTGGTGCAAAGAGCAGTGATGAGATATATTTTTATGCAAATATTTTTATACATGGAAGGCACAAAACTATTAGATTCTACTCAGAAAAAAAAAGCTATTTTCTATCACAGTTAAACCTCTTGGACTTTTTTTTTCAAAGAGGTAATACCAGAATATGATTTGATGATTTAGTAGCAGTAGCTTCATTTTTAGTTCATCATTGCCTAAGACAGGACATTTAGAATGAATCTGTATCCCTTATAAATCCAAAGAAACATGGTTCAGCAGCATGAATTATAATCTCAATCAACTATCTGTAGACCCAGAAATCACCTTGTAACATACAGTCCACTTTCAAACTTATCATGTATCACTGTAAACTTTTTTCTACTTCATACATCATCTCTACCCCAAAGTGTGATGATACTGTTGATTTGACCAACTTTTGAAAATGTTGCAGATCAGTTCTGAGGCTCCAGCAGCCATCATAAATGTATCCGTAAGAGAACAGTAGTAGCAGAAAAATGATGGTCACACAGATATTTCAAGGTGCCCTTGGACCTGAAACTTTATCACTTGAGCATACTGACATGAAATCACTGAGAAACTTTTACAGAGTTATTGTAGTATATTTATACACATGTGTGCACACACATATATCAGTCTTTCCCAAATGATATTGCCTAATCAAGAAAGCTAAGTAGGGTAATCTCTGGTTAATGTTTGGATGGGAATCTACCTGGAAAGTCCAGGGATGTAGGCTAGTCTGGGAAGTTTAAAAAACAAAAACCTGGAAGGCAGCAGTGGTGAATCCTATTTGTATTGCTGCCAAGAAAAGAATATGGACATGTGGATTTGGCCAATAGGAGCTGAGTTTGATTTGAATTTGGCTTTACTTTACTCTCACTAGTATCCTATTTCTATACTGTGAGCACGTTCATAATCCTTTTAAAAGGGAGAGGACACATCTTTTGAGGTTCAGTTTGGTGTAGTGGCTAAGGCATTAGGCTAGAAACCAAGAGACTGTGAGTTATAGTCCTGCCTTATGTACAAAGCCAGCAGGGTGGCCTTTGGCCTGTCAATTTCTCTCAGCCGCAGGAAGAAGCAATGGCAACCCACTTCCGAAAAACCTTGCCAAGAAAACTGCAGGGTCCAGATAGTCTCCGAGGTCTGAATATAGTTGATTGATAGAACAGAAAATAATAAAGTAACAATTTTTTACAAACACAAAATGAAATTAATATTGGCTTCTGCAGAAATTTCATCTTTTGGAGAAATTTCTTTCAATCTGCAGCTTCTCTTTCTCTCCCTCCCTCCCTCCCCCCACTCTAAAATGTTCATCCACATTTCACATTATCCTGCCCAGAACTGTCTTCTAGTTATTACAACAGGACGGTTGTTTCCTCTTTATAGCAAGACTCAGGCCATTCCTTATCCTCCACTGGGGAAGGGCAGACAATGTAGTAAGGTCATTGGATCCAAGCTCATATCAGTAAAATAAATTTCTTTTCTCTCCTAAATCTAGAAAGCTGCCTCACAGAAATAAATCATATTAGATTTGTCTGCCTGTTTGAAGAGAGCCTCCAAATTATCTCCACATAATTATAAATTATTATAAAAGAAAGAAAGAACTGCAATAATGACTTTGAGAATCACAATGCCGCTGCGCTATCATAGGAAGGCTCCTAAGATTCCCATTTAGCTTTCTCTAAAGCTTTCTCTTTAGCTTTTCTCTGAGTGATCTCTCTCTCTCTCTTTCTCTCTCTCTCTCTCTACTTCCCCTCTTTCCAGGAATTCCCAGGAAAATGGCTGCTTGGTTTGCTTGAGGGTCAACATTTGTTAACACCAGCAGGGTACCAAATCTTCTTTCTTTCCATATGTTACAGCCATGCAACTGCTGTAAATATTTGCAAAGCACCTCCTCTTCTCTCTTTTTAGAAATAAATCCCTGGCTTTGAAAAATGTAATTATGAAAGAAACTTGCTTCTTGCTTTGGTCCCCGTTTCTCTCGCCCCCCCCCCTCACCAAGTTCTACCGCTTTATATTTGCGCTTTGATCTCCACCCTCGCTCTCCAAAGCTTCAGTTCTTTTACTGAAGCCTGCTTGGCCTTTCACTCCAGATACCTCGCCTGGAGACAAATGTGTATCTGCTCCGAGGCAAAGCCTCTTTATCACTATCCTGTCTATCGGCTCCATCACTTTTGGAGGCCAGCAACACCTCCACCTCCGAGCCTCGCCGGGATCTGCGCTTTTGTGCCATCTCCGGCTTCCGCAGCGCGGGCCGCCCTCTGCCGCCTCCTGCAAACTTTCGCCGCAGAGCCTGCCGCACACGCGGGAACGCCGGGCCAAGGCCGGCCCCCTTTCTGCTTTCCTGGCGGGCGAGTCGCGCCCCCATTAAGCCACGCCGTTTAGTTAATCGCCTCACTGGCGGGAGTTTCCCCAGCTGGTTAGCAGGAGGCGGACAGCGAGAGGCGCACTGGTGGCGGCGGCGGCGGAGATGGTGGTGGGGGGATTCCCTACTTCCCGCGGGGTCGCCATCCCGAGCCACGCCACGCGCTGCTGCAGTCTCTTACCGAGCGAGCGAGCGAGCGGGAGCGGTCGGGCACTGCCTCTTTTCCTCACCGCCAGCCGGGCCGCTGCAGAACTTGGGCTCCTCGCAAAGCTCCCATCCAGGCGAAAGACGCGGCGGGCTCTCTCGTTCCCTCCTTCTTCCCTCCCTCTGCGGTAGTGCGAACACACCGCGCGCTCCGCCCGCCCGCCCGCTCCCTCCCTCACCCGCTTGCTTTTGGTTTGGCATGTTCCTCACATCCACCGCGTGCAACAGCCCGCCCCGCCCAAGGTCCGGCGAGAAAGCCCCTGGTTGTTGTTGCTGTTTTTTTTTTAAAACCCTAAAGGCTCGTAAGTCTTCGACTTATGACCACCTGCTCTCCGCTGGCCTCCCTGCATGGGGTAAGAGCAAAGCTCTCTCTGTGTGTTATGGGACAGCACAGCAGGCCAAGATATTTTGTAGCCTGGGTTGTAGGGGACGCTGGCCAATTTATTTTGGCATTGGGCGGAGATGGGGGAGAAGTGTCACAAGCATTTCTCCTGAGGAAAATAAATAATTGTAAGCCATAAGGTGAGGTAAGCGATAAGGTGAGGCACTTTCAGGACACTGGAAAGCTGCCTCCTTGTCCTATTGAGTGTAGTCTTCTGTCTCCCAATTGGAGAAAAAAAATCTATGGAGATTCAGAGAATGTAAAGTTGTTGCTGCAGCGCGAAATCCACTGCCTGGAACTGGTTCATGCTTGGGTGGATGAATATATCTTCAATATATAACTACATAAAATAACTACATTTTTCTCCAAATATCTGAGATTAAGAGTCTGACTGCCAGAACTAAGGCACTATAGGATTTATTAGTAAGTATGCATATTAGAAATGCAGTTATTCAATTATGCCACTGATTGAGTAGCGTTTAACTCGGGATGGGGAACAAATGTGTTGTTCGATCTTAGTTGTTTTTACATATCACATCACAAGCACCATGCCACAAATGGCCTTTTTGGCAGTTCAGATGTCAATTGCGGCATTAAGTGTCCCCCATAGTTTAAATCACAATCAAATGATGGTAATGATGAGAATAGATTGCAGCTCCTATCATTCCTGGCCATACTACTATAGCCAGAATTGATTGAAGTGAGAGTTTCAGAATATTTGGAAGGCCAGATACTATCCATATCTGACTAAACGTAAAGACAGTTCATGCCACTTCAATCTTTTGCTTTGTAAATTGCAACCAGATTCCAATAGATTTGTGGCCTGGCTTGTCAATATCAAATGCTTAAACTGGCAGGTTGTAGAAGAAAGACGTTGCCTCAGGGATAATGTGTATAAAATCAACTGGCTATTGGGGGAAAAAATGAAATGAAATTATTTACATATAAAGTACAATATAGACTTCTGCTAGAAATAGGTTCCATTGTTATTGCCTGTATTTTAAAAAGCTTTTTATTTATATACAGGTAGTCCTCGACTTATAACCACAAGTGAGCCCAAAATTTATGTTGCTAAGTAAGAAAGTTGTTAAGTGAATTTTTCCCCATTTTATGACCTTTCTCGCCAGAGTTGTTAAGTGAATCACTGCAGTTGTTAAGATAGTAGCACAGTTGTTAAGTGAATCTGGTTTTTCCATTGACTTTGCTTGTCAGAAGGTCACAAAAGATGATTACATGACCCCGAGACACTCATAAATATGAGTCAGTTGCCAAGTGTCCAAATTTTGATCATGTGACCATGGGGATGCTGCAATGGTTGTAAGTAGGAAAAGCGGTCATAAGTCATTTTTTTCAATGCCATTCTAACTTTGAATGGTTACTAAAAGAACTGTTGTAAATTGAGGACTACCTGTAATCCCTTTATTTTTTTTAAGGGATAACTCAAGGCTGGGAATGTACCTAATACTCTTTCCTCTCCTATCTTCCCACAATAGCAGCCTTGTGAGGTAGGCTGGACTGAGAGAAAGTGACTGGCCTCCCAGGCACCTTTTATACCTAAAGTGGGACTTTAAAGTCTCCTGATTTCTAGTCTGGCCCTTAATCTTAACCACTAAACAAAACTGGCTCTATTGAATTTAAGTGTTGCATAAATGTAGAAAAGGAATTTGGATGTTGGGATGCAATTCCACATTAGTTTCAACTGAATGGCTCTTCTGCACACATATATACCCCAAAGTATGGAATTTATTTCCTAAACAAAGTAAATAAAATGCTTTCCATAACTTTTAGTATATATACATGGGAATTAAATAGTATTCCTTTTTTTAAAAGTACTTTGGCAATCTTATGTTCTGTGGTTCTATACATACCCTTGACAGTGCATTCAGTCAAACTTAATGGATCTCTTCTGAGTTAACCTAGAAGATTCTTCCCTTGAGTTTACTGCTTCTTTGTGATTGCAGCGGAGAATTATTACTAAAGGACAAAGCAGCAATTCCTGTCCAATTTTGGAAGAATAATGAAGAATATTCTGGAAACTGCACATACAATTTTGCCTGTGTGTCAATCCCTAAGTAGACTAGAAATTTTTGGAGACTGAATGTAAACAAAATGTCTGTAATTGGAACAACAGTTCAGCAGAATAAAACAGAAAATCACCAGCCTAAAATTAAATGCATAAATTATTACAAATCTCTTTTAAAACAATATTTTGATTGTAGCTGTTCAAAGGTCACAAATATTTCTCTTCATTAGGAAAATGGTACAAAAGAAATGGGTAAGAAGGGCGGAAAGGAAGAAGAAAAGACTGTCTTAAGATCTGACATTCAAATTGGACAAGAAAGTTGGCTGAATCCAGAATTCCCCATAGGAATGAGGACTAAAGAAGTAAGTATCATTTCCTTATTTCTGAAATCTGAAGTCCAGCACTTTTGTTCAGGTAACTCACTGGAGAATGATGCAATCCATCAGAATACAGTACCGTAGTCATTTTCTGCATTTAATCCCAAAGCAAAGGGATAAGTGCATATAAATGGTAGCTTGAAATACATCATTCTTATATGAGATGAGAGACTATAATTATCATGCAGCTCCCCAGCAGGACATGCTGACTCATTTCTTTCAAATTGTCCTCTGGATGATTAGATTGCTAATACGCAACTAAACTGACTAGTTAATGGGAGTTATATGAGCAGGTAGGCTGAAATATCCCTGAATCTGTGTCTGGGAGATATGACTGCCTTTTGATAATGTGACAGTGCGTTCCTATCCTTCACATGCAGAGAAATTTATTTTAATGGATTTCTGAAGCTAATTGACAATGCAATAAAAGGAGAAATATAGCTAATCCAATAGGGAGGTTGAGCAGGCTATCAAACCACCTTATTTGACTTGTAGAGTTGCACCAGAAAAGGCTGTTCTAAATTGCCATTGATTCAATAAGATCAGATAACTTAATTGATTGTAGCCAAGGTCTTTCATCTGAATCTACCACATATTTAACAGGAAGAAAATTTAGGCAATACAGTTTTATAATTCATGGGGGAAGGTGGGGTTGAAGTTACTTTTTCAGTAATTTCTGAAATATAAAGATCTCTTGCATCTTTTGTAAGTCCATTTTTTCAGTGATATCATAACTTTGAAGGTTGCTGAACAAGTGAATATAACCTAAGGACTACCTGCACTTCTGAGAAAGCAGGTATTAGATTTACCCAGTAATTACTTCATTGCTCATGCTATCTAATTTGATTAACTCCACCAATGTCACTTCTAGCTTCCTGAAGTAGCATAATAGGAAAATTGGGAGCCTTTTTCAAGGCTTAGTAGTTAAGTAGGGAGACCAGAAATATAGCACAAAAGTAGCATTTATTGTTAAGAACTCCCTATAAAGTCACTTCTTAATTTTAAATTCCAATTTATTTTATTTTTATTCATTTTATTCTTCTGCTGAAGACCTGTATTTATACTATTTTTACTGGAGACTAATATTTTTATTATTTCTGCCATGAGAAAAAGGAAGACAAGGCAATGTTCACATTCTGTTTCTCCGACTTCACTCAAGCCTACTAAACAGGTCAAAGTTTATAGAGACCTAAAAAATAAATAGCCGCTTGTCATAAATAACCTACTCTCCTTTACTTTTTTTAAAAATAAAGAAATACTGACTTTATAGCCAGACAATGTCTACTGATGACCCAAACAATATTGTCAATTTTTGAGCTTCTGACCACAGTTAACAACACTCTAAAAGAGACTTATTTAGCTTAACTAATCTTCCAAATACTACTGCTCAATCAATTAAAACAAGCTCATGTAGAAACAACTGTGACTTAAAAGCAGATTGTAGTGGTAGAAAGATGAGTCCTAATTTGGAACCTAAAAGAGAGTGAGGGATAAGCTAAGAGATCTAAGCCTACATCTGGAGGAGCATGCAAAGCAAGTTCCACCCTCCCCTGAAAAATTTGATGAAAGGCAAGCAAACCATAATTGTTACTTACAGCCAAATCTAAATACTTTACAAATCCAAAATAAGAGAGTAAGGAGAGGAAAAATGGGGATCCAAAAGTGCAGCCATTCTCTCAACCTTTAGTCTACACTGAAAGGTGGTTGATTGATTTGTAGAAGATTGAAGATTGAATGACTCCCATCCAGGAGACATTCTAAATGAATCCTTCGATCATTTAAACATCCCACTATTGCTATCCTGGTGTGAATGAAGCCTTTTTAAAGCAAGTTTGATATGTTCACATTGCATGTATTTCACACAGAGGGAATTAGTCCATTAATAAGTCATCTTGGCATTGCTTTTACTTTAAAGCTTAATTGTAGCAACATAAAAGTAGGTAATTCCAAGGACTTCTACCACCACTGTCCTTGAGAAGAGACAGCTTCAATAAATAATCCGTACCTCCCACAGCAAATCAATTTTCTGAAGAACTGTTAAAGACAAACTTGATTAACTCTTTCAGGACTTTGCCAGATACTGGACAAGTGTATATTATAAAAAGGGCTAGACAATCTTAGGGAATTATTAGCAACAACATGTAAAGTATTAAACCTCTAATACAGCTGATCACCCCAATTGTCCAAGAAAATACTGCCTACTTTGAGAAACAATCTCTGGTTCGTTCTGTATTTCATCATGGAATATAGACATGAAAAAGAAAAACAAAGAGTCCTCAGATGTAGTTTCTACCATATGCTCCTGGATAAAATGGTAAACTATACCCCCCAAAATTGTAAGT